AGTAGTAGTAGTAGTAGTAGTCGTAGTAGTAGTCGTAGTAGTAGTCGTAGTAGTAGTAGTCGTAGTAGTAGTCGTAGTAGTAGTAGTCGTAGTAGTCGTAGTAGTAGTAGTAGTAGTAGTAGTAGTAGTGGGAGTAGCAGTGCTAGTGCTAGTGCTAGTGCTGGTGGCAGTGCTAGTGGGAGGTAGTAATAACTGGTGGAAGCAAATAGTAGTTGGTAGAAGTCACAAGAGTTAGTAGTACTTTTAGTTACATAGTAGCAGCGCAGCGTCCACACAAACGCAAGGTTCTCAGGCTATGGGCTTGGCACCGGACATTAGACAGAATGTAGCGTGTCTCTGCTGCGAGCTGCGACTGTCGCAAACACACCGGCATCCAACCGAATTCCATCATTCTTGGCTGAGCTGTGAGTTGATGCTCTTGCCAGCTGCCAGATGCACACCACGAGCTTTAGACGACGTTTGCGGAATGTATCACCAGCATGCATACACCGTTTCACCCATGACTAGCAGCTTGGCAGGTGCCCAATTCGTACACAGCTTTGCTGTGCCACTCATTCAGGATCTTCCTGCCGGGACGCGGAGTCAACCCAAAACTGTCCTACCTGACGTCCTTTCAAAAACTACCCACCGTTGCTGGCCGATCTTTGCCAAGAAAACTTTATTGAATGCAAGCAGTAAACATGGCACGAATGACATGCGGACGTGAAAGTAGCTAACACTTCGTTAAAGAAATCCAGATGAGAAGAATCCAACCAACGCTTGAACACATTTCTGTGTACTGAAAGCAATACATACATAGAAAAACATGTGTGTATTAATTCATAATATAAATAAAACATATAAATAAATACATATATATATATATATATACACATACATATATACACGTGTGTGTGTAAACATACATACGTACATACCTACATACATACATCCATGCATGCATACATGCATACATACATACATACATACATAGATGCATTCATGCATGCATGCGTGCATCCATGCATGCATACAGACAGACAGACATAGTACACACACACACACATGCCTTCGAACGCGCCCCGCGAAGTCATGGCTGGTTAACATAGAACCATTGCAACTATTTTACCGGAGCGATATGGAACAATGCAAAAGGCATCAACCAAAGTAGGACGAAGAGGCAGCGGTGGTTTTACATAAATACTAAATATAGTGGTTGTCGCAGCAGCAGCAGCAGCAGCAACAATAGCATCGGCCTGCAGCAGTACATAGCGTTGGTGGTGATGATGGTGGTGGTGGTGGTGGTGGTGGGGGGTGGTGGGGGTGGTGGGGGTGGGGGTGGGGGTGGGGGGGCGGCGGCGTTGGTGGCGGTGGAGTAGCAGTAGCAGCAGCAGCAGCAGCAGCAGCAGTGGCAGTAGTAGCAGCAGGCAGTAGTTAGTAGTTAGTAGTTAAAGTTAGTAGCTGGTCGTTAGTCGTTAGTAGGCAGTGGTTAGTAGTTAGTAGTTAGTAGAAGGTACAAGGTAGCAGGTAGTAGGTAGTAAGTTTTAGTAGTGGTAGTAGTAGTGTGGTGGTAGTAGTAGTAGCAGTAGCAGTAGCAGTAGCAGTAGTAGTAGTAGTAGCAGCAGCAGCAGCAGGAGTAGTAGTAGGAGGAGGAGGAGGAGTCGTGGTAGTAGTGGTGGTCGTGGTGGTGGTGGCGGTGGCAGTGGTGGGAGTAGTAGCTGTAACGGGCGTGGCAATGGTAGTAGAAGTAGGCGGAGGAAGGGGAGGAGGAGGAGGAGGAGCAGCAGCAGCAGTTAAGCATGGCAATAAGTTTGCAATAACGGGAAGGACCCTCATCATATCCACGCGCATGTCTCTCCCGCATGTTCAATTGCAATTCCGAACTCTGGCCTTGCCTTCTGTGCTTGAAGCTCTGGCTTGGATCGCTAGCTGTGCAGGTTGGCAATCTGGGCGCCACTGTGAATGGCAAGCAGCTCCTCAGCCAAGGGTCCGTCAGATCCCTGTGTTAGCAGACCTTTCAACGGCGGAATTTAGATCAAAGCAATTTCCTCTGAAGTCTAACCATTTCATTCCAGACTCTTTTCATCCGTTGCCCAGTTTACTAAAGGCTCGACGCGGGAACTTGTAGGGTCGAAGCCCGTAATTGAACTAAAGGACAGGTCTTGGGGTGCAACGAGGAGTGTCTTGATTCAATAGGACCAGCACTGATGACAGGTGCATAATACTAGTGCTGTAACGAACCAGGTGGGGCGGCATCTACTAGTCATAGTAGTTGCAGCACTAGTTCAGCAGTGTTTGTAATAGCCGACACTAGGATTTGATCCCGGGCAGTCTCGAGAACAAGGACTTGATGACTTGCGGTAATTTCTCACCAATTCTTAGCCTTCCGCCTGATTCTGACTCCGCTGCCCAGCCTGTTGCACATCGATGGTACGTGTCCCTGACTGCAGCTGCTTTCCGAATTGGGGTGGCTCGCAGATTCATCCCATGGTCCTGCTCCAAAACCCACGTGACACCAAACCCAAAAACCCCTACTGTAAAGAATGCAAAGGCCCAAAACCCAGCTTTCTTCGGGGTGTAATGGAGGGGGAATGGATTGTGCACTGCAGCTTGGCGGCTCCCTGCGTGACAGAGCCATGCTGGATCACTCCTTCCTCGTCCACCTCCACCTCCCTGGGGCAACTGCTTTGGTCCCAGCCCTTCTGCGTGTGGAGCGAAGACATGTCGCAGTATCGGCCCTGGGGCAGCGCGATCTTGAGGCCTGTCAAATCCCAAGTCCCACCAACCCCAGCCACATCCTCATCCTCGTCCTCTCTCCGGCCACGCGTAAGTGCGACGAAGCAGTCATTACCCAGGCGGAAGGCAAGACGGCCGACGCCGATGCCTTCAGTCTTTCCGCCTTCCCACTTCTCTGACACCGCATGTTGTCGACAGGCCTTTCGAAAGTGCATCATGCCCGCCACGCCCTGCCATCGGTGTTCACAAACCCACCGCCGCTCTCTGGCAGCCGACTTGGGTAGAGGAGACACTGTTGGGGCCGGCATGCACTGGGCGTGTCCGTCCTCATCGTAGACGGAGTCTGGCGTGCAGTGGTCCCCATCCGACTTGTCGCAGCCTGGCGGCCCGTGTGTAAGATCCCGCCATCCGTAGCCACCCCAGATCAGCACTTTCTCCCCGAACGGCCAGGACAGGAAGAACTTCTGCTGCTGGTGGAAGGCCAGCCCGTTCTTGTAGGTAGCGATTTCGGGATCGGAATCCTTGCTGCGCCCGTCGTGGTAAGCAAAGGGATAGACGGCCATGTCCTGACAAGGGTTATTAAGAGCCGCAGATGCTCTACAAGTCATCTTCGCAGCTTGGTGCAATGCTTAGAACGCATACTACCTAGATCCTTGTGCCAATTCGGTCCTGGGTGATTCCGAAGACACCACTATCCAGCTGAAGGAGCTCTGGGAGCTCCGTAGCATTCTTGCCAGCCAGACGGTTCCTGAACGCTCTCCGGAGAACCGAAGACCCACAAAAAAAAGTCATGCTGCAGCTCAGAAAGGGCCCTGTGAGTCTCAAGCTTCAGTGCAGTCATCGCGTGCCTCGAACTGAACGGGCTAATTACCGCCCAAGCCAGATTTCTTGCAGCCAGGCCCTACTCGTTTGAATCTACCCTTCCTTTTCGATCCTTTGTGGGGGTTGGCAGGCCGGCAGTGCAAATCGTGCGTACAGGACAACTTGGAGCATTGAAGTGCTCGGCTTGACATACTCCCGTTTTGACAGGGGAAGGGGAGCGGCCAATCTCAGCGTGAAGAGATGCAAATTTGAAGCTGTGGCGAAATGTGGCCAACAGTTGTGTCCAAGCATCACCAAATGCCAGCGGTAGGCCACGTCCCTGTACAGGCCGACGTACTCTGTTCGGTCATGTGGTGGATATTCACCCCACCACTCTTGGTAGACGAGATCCCACGGAAGCCTGTTGACCATGGCCTCGGACACCACAGCGAAAATCATTGAACTCGCGAGCCCATCAAGCTCTCTAAATTCCTTCAAACCCGACCCCACTTGAATCACTACTGATAGTCCCTCCAGTACCCTTTTTTAAGGCCAGTGAGCATAGTAGAGCTCGTTTGCCCCAAATTAAAGCTCCATCCCCACTGCGAAAAGCCCGAGAAAGCCGGGGCCCAGGCCGCCAGCTCGTAAACATGGTGGTAGATGGCAGCATCCACGCGAAGGGCTGTGACACCAATGTGGAAGAGATCCTTCAGAGCGTGTGGACAGCCGAAGGTTTGATGAATCGTTATTCAGCCGGGACCGAGCTAGGCTTGGATTTACAGCCTTGCTTTCTTAAAGCCCTTTTCCCTCTGCCGGGTTAGGCGACAAGAATCCAGATTCGGAAGAGTTCAAAGGTAACACCTCACCCGATTTTGGCTCGGAGGGCCGATGCATGGGGCACGAGGCACAGTGATCACAGCCCAGACGACATATTGGAGAGGTGGTGTCGCAAGTGGCCGCCATGGGGAAAAGTGGCCAGGAAAGGTTTGCCGTGCGTCACCACATTTCAGGCTCAGAGGGGCCCCGAACTTGTCATGCCATCGGGGGGAGGCACAGACGAATGCCCTTCCGAGACTGCGACGCCAGGGGAAGTGATCACTTACCTTTTTGGACCCAGCTCTCCAACATCTTCGAGATCGCTGGCCTCTAGATGCTTGACTTGCATCTCACGGACTTCCTCCAACTCCGTCGCGAAGTCCGGCAATGCATACCTCCCGTCTAGTTCAAGTGGAACTGCATACTACCAGTAGAATCGTGATCATCTCTGGAATGTAAATACAGGAAATTGCAAAGCAGTTCATTAGCGAAATCTTTGGGAGAATGTTTGGAGAGATTTGCGAGGAATTAGCAAGAGCTGCAGACAGCACTGCGAGAAATTTGCGAACTTTGCAAGCAAATGGCAAGACCTTTGCCGGATGTTTGAGAGAGGTTTGCAAGAATTTCGAGAGACCTTCGCACCATGTAAATACTGAGGCCGCCACCAAATCATTAATCAGTAACTAATGGTTTCTTTGCGGTTAGCTTGCGAGCGGAAAAGTGATAGTGAGACAATAGCGAAAAATTAGCGAGAGATTAGCGAGAAATTAGCGAGAAATTGGCGAGAGATTATTAGCGAGAAAGTAGCGAACTCCTGAAGATTTCCTAGCGAAAGCCTACATGACTCATGTACTCCGACAACTAATGGTGTTTGCTTCGTTTCTCTCAAACTTCTTGCCAATCTCTCGGGAACAATTTTCTCTCAAATCTGTGTCAAATGTTCTCGGCAAGATTTCACAAATCAATTCTTTTGTACTTTTCAGCGACAACGAGATGCTGGCTCCCAGACAGCTCGCTAAAATCAGTAGAACATTCAAGCAACGTACAAGTGCGGCTGGCAGAGTCCAAAGGTGCTTTTGTAGATTGCTGGCACCCTGAATTGCAACTAGCAATGGATGCTGCGCACATGTCGCAAGGAGTGCAATCATCGTCCGGGCAGAGCCACCCAGTCTGCGGCCCCACCTGTCGAAGCAAGGCTGCAAACTTGAAGATGAAGGCAACTGCTCGACTGCACTGATGGATCTTCGTTTTGCCCACAAAGACTTTCCACATTCGCACCACTCTCGTTCCCTCTGCTGCCTGACACCATGGCTCCATGGCATCATCCTGGCAAAGCAGGGCCCTATGGAAACAGTGTAAGGACGTGTCTTCGACATGCAGCCCTGGACAGAAACTCTCCGCAAAAGAAAGGAATCTATGAGCACTGCAACTCTGGCTGTCTTGCCAAGAGCCTACAAACCAATGTAGATTACTCGCTTCCATCCTCGGCCACACTGGCACACACACACGCGCTGGGAGACAGTTGCTTCATGTTGAAGCTACCTACTGGTACCTACTGGTACAGATTCACCTGTTGGTCCCTTTTGACATGCAGCCCTGCAGCACGGTCCTTCTTGTGGTGGAAGTGGCGCGGCGAGGCTGCATCCCAGCCTTTGGCACCCTGCTGCATGCGATTGCCGTACCTTGAAAGCACGGTTAGATGACAAATCCAAGGTCCAGCTGCGAGGACTGGAGGGTTCCAGGAGGTTTCGCGGGCCGGTCTCTGAGCTGACCGATGTTGGCACTGCGAAGAGCTGTAGGGTTTGGAGTGAGTGGTGCCATTTTTCTTGCAAATGGCTTAGGGTGGAGGCAGTTTCAAAACACCCTGACGTAAAAATGTCACTCAGCCACGGGACCTGCTTCCACCCCATCCGACGCATGGCATGTCCTCGGCGGCTTCTGGACTTCGATTGCTGTCTTCTTCCCCCCTTTGCCTGCCGACCTGCCGACCTACCGACCTACCGACCGACCGACCGACCTACCTGCCTGCCATACAGACCATAGAGACACACATGCATGCATGCATCCATACATACATACATACATACATACATGCATACATGCATACACATACATACTACATATTACATGTAAATTACATATTACATAGACACGGATGACGATGTATGTGCGAGTATATAGTTTCTTTGCTACCATGCGGCTAATCTGGCAACGACAAGTGGCAGACTCTGCTGTCCAGTTGGCCTTCTTGTGCTTCATCTTCCTTGCCTGTCGGCCTTGGCAAGCTTCAACAAAGTAGTAGAGCCAACAGCAGAAGATCCGAGATAATCGAAAAACTATGATACAACGGTAGCAGTGGCGCTGCCTCATGCCCTCAGCTGCGTAAAAGAACGGAGAAGCCGGCTGAGCCGCGCTCCGTGAACCCGACCGAACCCTGTGGTCTACTCTCCAGCTCAAGGCTAGCCGCACGGAGCAGCCATGTGGTTCATGAGGATGTCCACGATGACCTAAGCTCGGCTCGTGGCCTTTCGCCAACAAGCGTGCAAATTGCAGACAAGAAGGTCTTAAGTGCAGTCTCAAGAAGACTCGGATGCTTCAGCCCGGGTTTCCGGCTCTCAGAGACCTTCACCCTGGTATCCTGAAGCTGCCTATGCCTGAAGCTGAAAAACCAAGAACTTGCCTACAACCATTCGAAGTCACGTTTACAGATCAGCCGCCTGCACGCCAGCTGCCCGGCATGTTGCTACCATAGCCCTGGGCCAAGCTTGATCCGACAAGCACCGGCTTAGATACTCTCTGACAGGATACGGAGGGCGTCGTACATGTACAGATCATTGGAACTGCTAGAAATTTTCCGCTGATGCTATGGCATCAGAAGGATAAGTACCAGGACTAGCGTCATTTTCGTAGTTCCGACGAATAGACAGTCGTTTCTTCTGGTGTTGCCACTCGTGCTTCGTTGTCTTTGTCTTTGTTCTATTCTTCTGGTGATCTGCGTCGCTCTGCATCGACATATTCGACAGAAAAATGGGATGGAGATACTTGCCCTGGCTTCAGAACGTAACACACCACTAAATATCCGATCCCTGAGTTTGAACACCCCGAAAACAAGGGCCCCCAACTTCTGTATAAAAACCGCGAGCCCTCAACCCCGGAAAAGAACCAATGACCTAGAGCATCCCACCCCCCTATAACATAGGGGCCTTAATCATTAGAATAGGGTGGGGGGGGGGCCCATTATACTATACACATAAAAAGGAACCCCCAAAATAGTGTAGGTAAATATTAAGGCCCCCTCCAAGTGCATCCCGGCCTGAAGTCCTCCTCAGTGCCCGAGCGCGTGTCGAGGCCTGCCGACACTGGTTGGTATTTCACCCACCACTGGTAGCCCAAGACCTCGGCTCGAGAAGGCAGGGTTAGGGCGGGTTAGGTTTAGGGTATAATATAGGGGCCGTAATAGTTAGAATAGG